CAACAAATCCCACACTGTGGCCTATCTGCTGCGTGCTTCCTGAAACCAGCGTCTACATGGGGTTTAGCTAGTTCTGATGTGTAAGTTCCCCGCTGATGTGTATTCTCCCGAATTCTCCCAAAACCAGCGTCTGCCGACATTGATGTGTATTCTCACCAGCTGATGTGAGATAACCCCAACGCAAGTACCTACTACTTAAAGGTTTGTGAGACTTAGTACCTAGGATTATAAATAAGGTAACCATGCTTACAAGTACATATAACCCCACTTAAGGTACTTATAACAGCACTTACTAATTCCCATGAACCTCGCCAAGTACGCTAGACATTAACAAGATCCACTAGCCCTGCCAAGCCTCGTGCCGTTGCAAACTCGTTGAGAGTTTAGGGTGTAGGGGCCCCAAACCACATACGTAGAAAGCTTTACAACGCCTCATGCAACCGCTATCGGGCCTGTTGTGTCCATAGGCCCTATATAGTCCATTTACGTGCCCGACAGACATGGCGGAAGACAACAGAAGCAATAGAAACCTACAGAGCCCCTAGACTAGACTTGCAAAAATACCACTCAAATGCCTAAAACCTACGCCTAGACCCCTACATAGCACAGATCCTCAACAAGTAGAAACACTAGTTCCTGGGAGCCCAAAATACCCAAATCCCTTGCTGCTGCTTCCGAAACCCTATACAATGTGTAAACCTTAAACTTACAGTACCCGGAACGAAGCATTATGAAGAAGGTTTTTATCCAGAACTGAGATACTCGCTGCACAGGTAACTGGGCTCCAAATACGAAGGGACTCTGCCGGCCTTGAGCCCTACATGCTAAACTCTACTTGGAGGTTCATGGGACTTAATAAGTACAGTTATGAGTACTACTAATTGGGGTTACTAGTAATTATAAGTTATAGTAATTATAAGTAACTTTATTTATTACTCTAGTTGCTAAGTCGCATGAAGCTTAAAGTAAATCCCAAAGTAGACCCGAAAGCCCCTAAACCTTAAACCCTAAACCCCACACCCGAGAGGACTGGGGGGAGACCTCGCTCGCACGAAAGCTCTGGCGGCGCGCGGCGCGCGCGGGGCTGAGCCCCTGAAGGTTCAGGGACCCGAAAAGGACATCAGCATAAGCATTTTATAGGGATATCCATACCTGGGTGGTTTATATGGGATATCCTATCCTAGTTTTTGCTTGTGTGCTTTTTGGGGCCCCAGAAGTTGCCCTTCGGGAAACTGCAAGGGTGCATGGATCTTGGGGTTTATAGGCCCTATAAACCCTTTTGGGGGTGGCATGATCATTCCCTGTGTACCATGTAAGAGGTTAGGCAGGACAGCATTAAACCCGAATTTAGGGTTTAGGGGTTTAGGGTTTAGGGCTGAGTAGGTAAGTTTCAGGCTTTTGCGGCTTATATCCCTACCATAATTGAGTAGGTTTAGCTTCTTTGGGCCAGGGTACTCAACCCCTAAGTACTGAAGGGCTTCGGGGACGTGTAGGTAAGGTTACAATTTGGGGTACATGTCCCCTAGGTGCGGTCATTGTAATTGTAACCTTGCTTACCAAGCCCTTAATTGGGCCTTTAAGTAGGGTTGGGGGTCAAAGGTTTGGGGTTTCAAGGCTTTTGTGCTTGGGGCGGATAGCTCCTCATAGGGCTCCAAATGCCAAGACCACATAAAGTTCTTGAGCGCAAGGGATCCAGTAGCAAACCTGAGAAGCTGAATCCAGAAAATCTCCTTGTAAGACGTTTGTCTTCATGTTATTTGTAGCGCAGGTGTTTGGGGTTCTGAAGTTGAACTGAAACCAGCCTTGAACCTCTAACCTAGGCCCTAAGCCCTTACTTACTAACTTGCTAACTTACTTACTTACTTACTTACTTACGTACTTACTTACTTACTTACTTACTTGCTTGCTTATCTTGGCAGCTCTTTTGAGCTCGTCTCACTCCTTTCGCTGGGGACTTGATTGTCTCGCGACGAGCTTCAACCTAGAGCCCTTCTGCCTAAACCCCCTAAACTCTCAACCCGAATATAGTTTGTGGATCCCTATAGCTCTATCGCAGGACCTGAGTTCTCAAGCCTGGACGGTGCAAAACCAAGCAGCCCCTTAGGGTTTCGAGTTTAGGGTTTAGGGTTCATGGGACTTAGTAACTGAGGTTATACACAAGGCAGCTATACTTATAAATACTCATAACCTCGATTAAGGTACTTATAACTGTACCTATTAAGTCCCATGAACCTCCCCCAAAACCCTAAACCCTAAACCCTACAACCCTAAACTCTAAACCCTAAAACCCGAAAGCCCGAAACTCTAAACCTTAAATCCAAAATTTGGCTTACGAGCAAAGGCCCCCGATCCCTGCTGAGCCAGACCCGATAAAGCATCGGGCCTGGCTGAGCAGGGATCGGGGGTCTTTGCTCGTAAGCTAAATTGGGGGTTTAGGGTTTAAGGGTTTGGGGTTTAAGGGTTTAGGGTTCGGGGTTTAGTGTTTAGGGTTTAGGGTGCAAGGGTGCAAGGGTTTGGGGTCTAGGGCTCACGGCTTGGGCCTCTCCTATTTGTAGCTTCTCACATCTTTTGTTTTCAACTTTCCGTCTGAGCCTTACATGTAAAGCCTGGGAAAAGACCCACGGGTCAGCCCCCTAGACCCCTAAACCCTAAACCCAGTATGTCGCTGAACCCGGAAGGCCCAAGAACACAAATAGTATAATACGGTTTCAGGGTCCAAAAGCCGATGCAGCGCATGGATTTGGGAAACTTGGCCCCTCGGCTCAACATCTTGGACCCTTACCTGCTTCCCTCGAAGCTGTGTAGGCGATCGCTTCGATGCCTGCGTGCGCGAGGACTGGGAGAAGTGGGAGGCCTGACCAGGGACCCGCAGAACCTCCGCAATCAAAGGCACAACTATCGTAAGCTTAGGGGTTTAGGGTTTAGGAGGTTTAGGGCTTCATGACCTGTTTGGCATCAGGGGGTTTAGGGTTTTTGGGGCTCGGGAGTTGGTTGGTCTAGAGTTTCGGGTGTCCAGTGGATACGATTTGGGTCGTCTGAGCACTCTATGGGAGTTTCCGAAAACGAGGGGTACCTTATTTTGGGGGGTCTTGATAGTCAGGATCCTAGGATCCTACTATTTATGGTCTATATTAGGGTCCCCTATAATCGGAAACCCCATATGAAGTAGGGTTTGCAAAGCTGGTTTCTGCAGTAGGGCCCAGTAAATTAACCTAAGGATCTAGTCGCGAATTTTCCAAGAAGCCCTCTGCACATTCCCCTTAGCACATTCACCAAAGCCTTAATAGACAACAACCACATTTTGCAACAGGCCAAGCGTTAAACATAAGGGCTGTTTTTTTTTTACCGAAACCCTTTAAAATCCGAATTATAAACTCAAACCAAAGCCCTAGTCGTGGCCCAAGAGACCCACCTTTGTTGTTAAGGAACTATATATAGTAACCATAATCCCTAAACCCTAAACCGTCAATGAGTACGAAGGTAGGTCTTTTCGGCTACAGGTATGCCAATGCCCAAGCCTCGACACGAATTTGGGAATCTTAGCCTCGCAACCGTAAAGACGTGAGACGGTGTAGGGTTGAGGGTGTAGGGTTGAGGGTTTAGTGTTTAGGGTTGAGGGTTTAGTGTTTAGGGTTGAGGGTTTAGGGTTTAGGGTTTGGGGTTGAGGGTTTAGGGTTTAGGGTGCCAGCCACCCACCAACACTTCCTAACACTCTTTTGTGTTTGCGGACGGGCTTGGAGGATCACTTGATATGTATCTTTGCAAGCCACTTTGTTGGCGTTATATGTGTTACTGTTTATATATGCATACCTTATTATTTATGGTTCCTGTTTCTAACTGCCATGCCCCTGTAAGTACACCCTCATCTCCCAGACTTCCACAAGACGCAAAACAGGTCCGTTAACTCCTTCTTCAATTTCTATTCTCTTGGCCCTTAATCCAAAACCATTGTAAAATCCTAAATCCTAAACCCTAAACCCGTTTGGCCCTCCCAAACCCAAACTCTACGCACTAAACTTTGTTGTTCTCAGCCAGGGCAGACCACTCTCTACCGCAGAGATTTGGCGCGGCTTCTTCCGAGTGGCGGAGCTGTCGCCAAGTGAAACAAAGAGGGCGCTGGATGCTTGTGGTATTATCGGGTCGAAGGGTGTCGTGGTTCAGGGTTTAAGAATCGGCTTGTTTCAGGACGATTGGGTACGGGATTACGCAGGATAGTGCTTCTCAGGGTCATAACCGTGGTTTCCGATTACGCAACCTGGAAGAATTTCTGGAGTCCGGGAAGACGTTCTTCTGCTGATCCTTGCGTTAGTCATCTCGTGAGTGCGCCGAGATCGCTATGATGGGGGCTCGGATAATCAGCGATACCTGTTAACCGTAATTAAGGGTCCAACTCATACTCTATCCGGGCTCCTCATTATAACATGTTACAACTATACTACGAAATACCATGAAATACCCCAGTACCATATTCTATTTGGTATGGCTTCCAGAAGTTTCGGGACTGTCAAGCTGAAGGCGCTAAGTTAAAAAAAGGGGCCTCAACAGGTCGTACTTGGAGTTCCTGAATGTTTTTTTGGTATAGAAACCCGGAATCCTTCTGATTTGTCAGGGTTCTACATGAAGTCCATCCGGCGTCAAACCCTAAACCCTAAACCCTTAAACCCTAAACCCTGCAGGTACAAGCGAAAAGATCTCATAGGATAATCCTTTTGGACCTCGCAACACGTTGTAAACCTGTTCATACAGGACGGCAACCCAGCAAAAGCTGTAGAAACCTTGTTGAGCCCGTTACAATGCAAGCAACGGGGAATTTCGTCTATCATAAAAACCGCTGAACTTAAGCTTTAATCCCTGAAAGCCCAGCCCTAAAACCTAAACCCTTCGAGCCTAAACCTGCACGCGTTGTCTTTGAGGGATTCCCCGCAGGCAGTGGTGGGTGCGCCATTGTCAGAGTGGAGTCAGGCAGAGTGGGGTTCTTCCTTCCTTAGCCCATCGACCCTCTGAAACATCTGTACTGAGAGAAAGGGATAGAGTGCTCGCAGATCCTATTTTTTGGCTGGCCTCGCAGTCGGGCCGCATTGATTTCGCCTTCGGCAGTGGCATTCAAAGGCAACCGTGAACGGGCAGTATTGAAGTGAAGTCTGTTTTTGGAACCCTACTCATTCGTCCTGTAGGATTGAGCATTTGCAGGGCTATGCCCCAAACCCAGACACAAGGATCCGTGAGCCTAGACGTAAAGCATGTTCTCCACACAAGACTTATGTGGCATCTGAGTAGGGCTTTACGGTTCAGGTGTCATGCTGTCGGAACTGTCGGCCTTCTTGTGCTTGCAAGGACGCTTACAAGTACCAGACAGTTGTAATCATGCTGAGCTACGGTAGCTACGGCCCCATGTGGAGCATTCAAAGAATCACCTTTGATTGCCATGAGATGTGAAATAGGTTTTCAAACAACATGACATGTCTAAAACCCATTGGCTCTAAGTCGACGAGTCGCGATAAGATGTATCCTGCTTGCCACGTTCGAAACCTTGCCCCCGGCACACTTTGGCCTTTCACCCAAAGTTCCCGTGCCCGTATGCACAGACACACAGAGAACCCGACGAGAGAGAGAGAGAGAAGCACGCCAACCAAGTTGATCTAGGGGCCTAAATAATTACCAATACTATCATTTTTTTTTTTTTTTGGGGGGGGGTTACTTCTTATAACTATATAGTATAGTTGGTCCCACAACCCTATTTTGATTGTTAAGGCCCCTACATTGCCATCTCAACCTTAGGGGCTGACCAGGTGATATAGGGGGGCCTTAATAATTTGAATAGGGCTTTGGGACCCCTTACCCTAGACCGCCAAGTATACAAATAGTACCTACTTTGGGGTCTAAAGTCTGGAAATAGTACCTACTTTGGGCTATTTGGAACCCCAGGGTTATACTGTAACTATAATAAGGAGCCCCCCAAA